GCGCGCTCCCTGCGCCGCCCCCCCCGCGGGGCGCGGCTGAGGACGGGCGCGGTTGCGACACCCGCGGCGGGCGGGGGAATCCGGGCCGGGGGGAGCGGGGTCACCTGCGCGCACGGATTTGGGGGGGTTCACGCCGCTTCTCTGCCCGCTGCGGCCCCCAAAGAGTCGGTTTATTCCTGCGGKTAATTTTCGGTGGTATTTTTAACCCGCCCCGGTGCCCGCGGACGGCGATGCTGCGGCTCCGCTCCTGCGGTTCTCCCGGACAGGGACACGCGTGGGGAATGCGGGAGTGCGGGGGATTCCTCCAGCCCGGCTGTCACCGCGCGGGGGATTTAAAACCCTCCGTGGCAGGGAAGGCTCGTACTCGGCTCTGCTCGCTCGGGCAGTGGTATTCYGTAATCCCGCCGGTTTCTCCAAGGTGTTGGAGGCAGAGCGGCTGCCCGGGAGCCTGCGCTTACTTGAGGTGTAAAAGCTGCGCCTCCCAGTGCAGATGGATTTTTATAACAGTCATTCTGAAACTTCATGGATCGGGTTTTAATTCCTGCTAAACCTCGCGGTGGCTGTGCAGCACGGATTGATGTCTTATGTTTGTGCCTCGCAGATCTTACGGGGTTTTCTTGTTCTCCAGGAGCTCAGCTGTCCCCCCGAGCGGTCCCACGTCCATCAGCCGCAAAAAGAAACAGATCCTTTTAAAAATGTAGATAAAAATATCTTTATCCTGCGCTGATGTCCTCAGGCGGGTTTCGGGCACTTGCTGCCGAYAGAGCTGAAACAGATAGAGGCATTTGGGCAGCTCTTCAAAAGAAAAAAAAAAATAAATAAAAAGGTTTTCTTTTAGATCCAGGGTGCGTTGGTTGGTGTTCTAATCGCAGCGCTTGGAGACGGCTCCGAGTCCTGGGAAGCCCGTGCGGATGCCGGCAGCAGAAGCCGGGGGCTTGGCACCCTCTCCTGGCGTGCGCCCGGAGTGCTGCGGCAGGAGCGGGGCTGCCCCGGGACCGACCGATGGCAAATCATCCGCACGTCGAGCTGAATTCACGGGCAAAGCCTCCGGGGAACGCCGCGKCTCTGTCTGCACGGGGGTGTGTCTGTGTCTTGCAGTTATAAATGCCGCCGATGCTGCTCGTCCTGTGGTTTCAGGAAAGTTTTGAAGGGATAAAATCATACTCAGCCTTGGGGTTTTTTTTCCCAATATATCTCGTTTGAAGAAATATCTGAGTGCTGTCATGTGTGGAGGAGTGGTGGGGGGGAAGGAAGAATGGAGAAATAGAAGATGTTCTTAAACTATATTATAATTTTTTTATCTTTTAACTTAAACGAGATTGTTATTTTTCAAGTATTCATGACTTCAATGGCCAAGAGCTTGGGAAGAACACTGTGGATTGGAGAAAGGTCATCTGAGGTGAGCCCCACACAGCGCTGGCGATGCCATCTGGGCAGAGTGGAGGTGACAACGAGCCCGTTTGCTTTCACTAATTCTGAGCAAATCCAGAGTGGCTTCCCTCCTGCAGGAGCAGCCCGCGGCAGGGCTGGGAAGAGCTCAGGACCTGCTGAGAGGGGATTTTCTGTTTGCTCCTGCTCACTGCTGCTTCCCCAGAGCTCTGCTGCCCAGCACATCTGCAGCAGCAGATCACCAACACAGCTTCCTGCTGGGATCAAGCTGGGTTTTTTTGGGGTTTTTTTTTGGTTTTTTTTTCTTTTTTTTTTTCATTTTTACCCCAGTTTTACGTTTTACACTTCAAACGTCAAGTTTTGACTCACCCACTGAGAGTCGGGCAGAGACTCTTCACCCCTTGGTTGTGCCCAGGCACGGAGGAACAAACCTCCCTCCTCGGGCATGTGCTCAGTGGAAGGAGACAGGGAGGGACTGCAATGTTTTAATAAAAGCAGTTMATTTTTGCCAAGCTGGGATGTGGGAGAATTCCCTTCTTTGAAATGCTCAGCACGGTTGGGAAGAAGGTASCAACCTTCTCTTTCCCATGAGGGTTAATGGACTGAGGTCAAATTTGCCACGGATTGCATGTGTGCATGCAGACACTTGTTTTCCCATTAAAAAGAGGAGAAAAATACAASTCTGTAATTGAAGGTGCTGTGAGATGTGCAAAGACTCCTTTTATGTTTAGGACATTATTGTTTATTCCAGAGTAAGGTAAGATCTCAGCTGTWAACACCCTTATATAATTTTTGGTATTTGTATTCCCAAAGTAGGGAGAATTCTATATATGAGAGAGAATACCAACATCATGGGAATAAATGAACTATCCCAAAGATGGGAGAAATGGGAATGGCCTCTAACACGTGTTACATTTGTGGTTTTGTGCTGTAATTGAGCAGAGCAGTGCCCTGRCAACAAAATCTTGTTCTGCTTTACTAGTTCTGCCCAAACCAAGACCATTCCGTTCAGATCTTTTAAAATATCTAAGTTTGCCAAAGTTTGCTTATTTTTCTAGCTGTGCAGAGGAACAAATCAGGCAGCTTTTTTTTATTTGACTATTTTAATTTAGGGAGGAGTTCCTCAGCTTCTCTGATGTTGGCCAACCCATGTCCTGAAGTCATATTTAACTGATTGCTCAGATAATTAATCTGTCATGTTCTGTTAAAGATCCCAGGACCTGCTGTCACTCACACTTCCAGTTCAGATCCAGATCSGAGGCTGAGTGAGCAACTGTGGACTGGAGCTTCCCAGAAAAGGTAATTCATGTCAAACTTGTGCAAATCATCGCATCCTTGTTCAACCCCAATGTATACACTGAAACCCAAGAGGACTGCGTTCAAAATTTTTGGCAGAAGATGTTAATTTGGTGTTCCCTGAGTCGTCCCATTCTTTCCAATTTGCTCATCTTTGGAATGTTTTCATCTATTAGCAGTCTCTGAGGTTATGTGCCAATTAAATAATTCCATTCATTATGCAGCAACCATATAGAATAGTTCATTATGCTCCAGCCAGCCTCTGGGCATGTGTACAAAACTGTATCAAAGAGCACCAGTTAACAAAAATAATATCAAAAGAGAAAATGCAGTGCTACAGGGTGTTGATCAGCAGCACCATCCCGCCCAGGAGACGGCTCCATCCCAGCCCTGGAAGATCCCCATGTACCTTTTATACCATTTACAATTTATGAGTTTTAATTACCGAGTGTTTGTAAAGAGCTTTGGAACGCTCGGGTGAAAGACGGTGCAGAAACTCACGCAATGATTATTAATGACATCATTTTCTCGTGGCTCAGGCAGCAAGGGCAGGACAGTTACATGGCAGAGGGTGACACTGCATGGATCCAGCGTGGCACGGGGATGGCAGAGCTGCCCTCTGGCTCTGTGCCTCAGTTTCCTCATACACAGAGCAGAATTTATAATCCTGGTTTTTATTATAAAGTGTTTGTAAAGCTTCTAGATCAGAAATCTGCTCCTCAGAGATCAATCTGAGCACTGTGTTACGGTGACAAATGTCCTTGGTAGGTGAGGGAAGGGCAGATTTGCCTCGGGAGGATAATTAAGAGGATTTTTGTGGCAGGATTCGGGACGCAGACGGAACTGACTTATCAGCCACTGATGCCCCACGTCCTGAGCAGCCGGGCAGGGATTTCTGGTTGCGCTGCACCCGCGTCCGGGGGTGCCGTGGGGTGACAGAACTGCCGCATTCCTGACACCACGCGAGGCACAAACAGGGGTGACACGGCCTGCAGGGACCTGGCACCCTCAGAACCCGGGCGGGAGCTCCGTCAGGGGCGACGGCTGTCCATTTGTCCACCTGTCCATATGTCCATCTGTACGTCCGTCCCGCCGCTGCGACCCCCATGGCCGAAGGGGACATTTTTGCGACCTCCCTCAGGTGTCCAGGGCGCCTCCCAGGGCACCTCGGCTCTCACAGCGCTGCCAGGTGCTCGCCCGCCGTGCCCTGCCCTCAGGACTCT